TCTTTTTTATTCATGTCCTTACAATGAATACACCAAAATGATATAGTGTGACACAAAATTGTTCTCTAATTGAGACAAAACAAGAAAAAATAGGATAAATAAATCCATTTCTTGTACCTTCATATACTCTATGGGAACTGGTATCAGAAACCATTCGGAGATGCTGCTTTTTAAAACTCTTTATGATAAATCAGTTGTTTTGTGAGAACATCTGATCATACTTAAACAGTCTTGACTTGTTTAATAAAACTTAAAGGGCTAATATACCCAGAATTCCTACTGTGCATGTTCTAAAATAAGATGCCTGCCAAAAATATATATATATAAATAAATAAAAATGACAGGCTAATTTTTAAGAAGGTGTGAACACTCGCAGCACTGACTGTCTCTGCATGGACACTGGTTTATAACTGAGACTCCTCCTGAGCCGTCGGTGCAACCAGTGTGCGTATGCAGACGCCTTAAGTCCCAAAGTTTCATGACGACGCGTTCAATTTCCCTCTTTAATCTCTTTACTCTGTTCCCTCTCCTCTTCCTCTTTACTTCCAGGCAAGCCTAAGAGTTCAATCAAGAAATACCACTTGGGGGACGTCCCAGCCTTGTTTTGGTTGTTTGACCAACCGTATAGCACAGGAGCAACACTTCACACGCATTAAAAAAAGAAGAAGAAGAAAAAAAGGAAGTAGTTTCCCGTGTAAAAGAAAAGCGGCATCGGCTGCAGTGATGCCAGCAAAATATTCATGGACTGAGTCAGCACTCGCAACATCCGAAGTGATCCGGAGTTACTGTCATTCCACATCTGGATTTGTTTATATTGTGTACATATTCTGTTGTTGGCAACAAAATATACATGTGAAGAAAAAAGCATATCAATGATGTTATCCTACTGGACAGGTTCCACTGTATAGTGTGATTTGTGGTCAATGGCGCCAACGAAAGGCCAGTCTACGCTGCCGGAGGCAAAAGAAAATATTATTCTGTATGATTACCGTTGATAATATTGTTATGTAGAGTTAGTTTTATTAATTATAAGTAAATTAAAAACCATGGAGTGATTAAAATGGATTTCCTCTGGATGTAAATACCTCGGTTTTTAAATGGAGGACTTAAAAGTTTCACAAACTAACATTCTCTGCTGCCACTACTTTTGAAAATTAACACACACACAAAAAAAAAAAACGGAAGGAAGGGCTGGGAATTTTTCTATCTTTTTTTTTTTTAAACGTTTCGTTTATTTGGTAATCGATTTGATTCCAAGGTTGATGTGAACATTTTTTTTAATTTAAGGAGAAGAAATAAACACACACAAAAAAAGGAAATTCCTGTGCTCTTTACAACAATGAACACTTATTATAGAGTTTTTAATTGCATAAATGTACTTATGGAAGTTAAAAAAAAAACTTTTTTCTTTATTTATTCTCTACAATTGCTGTTTTAAAACATATGTCTTTAAAAGAAAATAAAGTACAATTTAGAAAAAAAATATTTTGTCATGGATTTTTTTCAGTGTAATCTAATGTTTGTGTAACAAAAATGGTCTGAATAATAATTTAATTGTTTTACTGCTGTCTGTAACCTGTAGCCGTATTAAGAGACGCGGAAAACATTCAATATTTCTTTACTTTTGTCTATAATAAAATCAGTTAATTGTGGAAGACGACTATTTTCCGATGACCATGAATCCACAAATATTCAGCTCAACTTGTGAGTATCCACATCTGGGATGTGTCTGCCAGATGTTTGGTTGAGCACGCATCAGGATGTTTGGTTTTGGTTTGAAGAGCCTTATGCCTTCTAGGCATACCTGGTGTATGAAGGGTAATCAGTGCCAAATAACTCAAACGGGATGGGCAGTGATTTGTTTTAAATTGTTTCTTTTCTTTTTTTATTTTACACACGAGTCCTCTCCTAACAATGCTTTTACACTCTCCCACACCTCGGCATCATCCTGCCATCACACTTTATTTGGAAAGGGCTGTAAAGTGGAAAGTATGTCTGCAGGTGAGCTTGGCTATACGCCCAGATCCCCCCCCCCCCCACCACCCAAAATTTCTAAGATTAAAGTCAGAGATTTAAGTCAGAATTACGCCTTTAAAAATATGAGATCAAGGTCAGAATTCCAAGTAAAAAAGTGAAGACTCACAAAACAAAAATACTGTTGCTTAATTCAGGGGTTCCTAACCCTGGTCCTTGAGGAACACCATCCTGCATGTTTAAGTTGTTTCCTGCAAAGACACACCTGCTTTTAATAAATGGGTGATAATAATTTTCTGCAGAACGAGAGGAAGTAATTAAATCACTGAATCAGGTGTGTTGGAGCAGGGAAACTAAAACATGCAGAATGGCGTTCCTCAAGGAACTGGGTTGGGAACCACTGGATCTTCTTCTGTACAATAAAAACTTGAGCTTGTCGGTTCCTGACCCACCCGAGTCAAAGATCCAAGTCCACACTGAATCGGGACCCCCACGAATCTGAGATCTAAATGAACCCGGATCCTTCATTCCTTCTGCCAGACTAGAAATAAAAGTCTGCGAGTTAGCAAACACACAGGAAAATAAATAAATAAACAAATAAAACAAAACGTTTCACTGGACCAGTTTGATAATTCACCGGACAAGCTGCGGAGTTGTATGAAGATCGTCTCAAAAGTTGTCACAGAGAGATCTGTGATCTCAGTGAGATTTGCCTGGTTAAATAAAAGTTAATAAATAAATAAGCATGCAACAAGATTTGAATGTGTACAATACAGCTGGGGTTCTCAAACTTTTTGGGTTCAGGGAGCCCCTCCCTCATGTTTATTACATAATTCGCTTCAATTTGTCTCTAATGCAATGGAAATATCTGTGTAACATAAATACTTAAGACCTTTCCTTTAACAATGTGAATACATTTTTACACTTTTAACCATGAGGTATTGTCACTTCTTTAAATTATTACAGAAAACTCTTGACATAAAGTAGATGTGACTTCCTGCATTTTGGTGTATTTTAGCAGGTTGTTAAACATACGTGCTTGCAAATATATATATATATATATATATATATATATATATATATATATATATATAT